CTTACTCTACTTACCCTACACACACTATACACTCTACATGCTCTACACGTTCTGCTTACTAGCCATGCCCTACACACTCTATGCAGTCTACATGTTGTGCTCTCTATACATTGTACACACTCTACACAGTCTACACGCTGTACATACTCTGCACAGTCTACATGATGTGCACACTATACACTTTGTACATGATGTACATACTTCATATGCTCTACATACACTATATGCTCTACTGACTCTACATGGTTTGCTTACTCTACATACTCTACAGACTCTATGCAGTCTACATGTTGTGCACTCTATACACTGTACACACTCTACACAGTCTACACGCTGTACATACTTCACATACTCTACAGACTCTACATGGTATGGTTACTCTACGTACCCTACACACACTATACAGTTTACATGATGTAGGCCTATATGCTATACATGGTCTCAACACTATGCACTAACACACATCACACGCTCTATGCACTATACATACTCTACACATGATAAACATTCTACACATTAAACTTTAAAGATTCCTCAATAATTATAAATTAAAATGTTTCAAAACATTAGAAGATACTAGATACTTAAACTTGTTATTAAAAGCAACAAATTAATGATATTGTGCGACAATCTAACTTTGAACATTCTCTTCCACGCCCCCCCCCCCCACCTTTGTCACTTATCTTAATCAACTATTTTTTTTTAAGTTAAAAAAAAAAAGTCTACCACCCAACGAAATGGGATTTATGTAGAAAACATACTTTTACCAGTGTCTGTCCCGTCCCCCTGGTGGATATCAACCCCCCCCCCCCCGAGAAAAAAGTCTGGAAAAAACGCCCCCCCCCCCCCCCAGAGATGCCTGGAAGAAACTGCATCAGATGGCTGCCCATGACATAAGCAAAAATAGTAATCAAGGGAGATAATCAAATTTTTTCTTAACTTCCGTCACTCCCCTTGTATGATATATTTAGAAAATTTGTGTGACTATTTGTGTGACTGCAAGTATTGCACTACACTCGTGTCGTAGACATAAAACGATCAAACACAAGCCAGCTATCGGACTGAGCCGTGGTGGTGTGGGTAAAACCATGACTTTATCAACAGAGCCTAAAGCTGATGATTTGTGCTCCAGTTCTCGGGCTGGGGTACAACCACACCACTAACTCGATACTCAGTTCTTTTGCCGGTTTTGTTGATTTGTTTTTTTTATTTTAAAGTATTATTCGTATCTAAAGCTTTTATTGCATATTTAATTTTATCATATATTTTTCTTTAAAAAAAAATAGTTATATCTAATAAAAGTTTAAATAATTTATTTCCTATACACTATGAATAAAACACAACCTTTATCCCAACCTAATTACGCATCATTCATATGCTTACTAATTTGATTAAAATAATAAAAATCAGAGACGATTGCCTTGGTGATTTCATAGAAAACAATTTCGTAGGATTCATGCACATGTTATAAAGTAGGTTTTTAAAGGGCACAATTTGAATGGTAGAGATACACACCTCTCACACCCCCCCCCCCCCCCCCACCACTTCTAGAGATGCTTAGAAGAAACTCTACTTGCTTGGTAATTATGTGATTTTAATTAATCAATTAAATAATAAACTGATAGCTTGAGTGATACGGGGTTTGTTTGTTTTTTGGTGGGGGTAAGGGGGTGGGGGGGCACTATTATTTTTAAGACATCTATTAAAATCAAACTTATCTATAAGACTTACATTTCCAAATCTAAGACTTATCAATTCAACGCTAACCCTCGTCTATTCAATTCTAAGACTTATCTATTCAAGACGTATCTATTCAACTCTAAGATACCTATTCAACTTTCTCTTTCTTTCTTCTATTCATGACCCGAAATGTTTTTGCTCTGTATAGCGTAGTTAATTTGAACAAATGATCCTATTGACAGGGCCCATAATCTATTGCTGGAAACGTGACATGTCGTGGTTCTCTCCCCTTGCGGTATCGTGTTTTCCAACCAAGGGTTTGTGTATAGGAGTTTCCTTTTCAATCGTGTGTTCAATACTTTGAGGCCATCGATAAATTGACAAGTTTTTTTTTAAGGAATGTGTTGAGACAGTAAATAGGACATATATGTTCAGATAGATCTAGTAGGCTCTTGTGTAAAGTTGTTTTCTAATTATGTTTGGAGAATTATTTTGTAACTGAAAATTGTAAGTTTGCTTTTAATTAGTTTATTTTTAAACTACTCAGAGACTATTGTTTAGATAAACCAGAGGCGTAGCGACCCTTCCCGGCGCCCGGGGACATACTTTCAATTTGGCGCCCCCCCCCCCCCGGGATCAAATTTTCGATTTGCACCCCCCCCCCCCCTCAAACTTTCGATTTGCACCCCCCCCCCCTCAAACTTTCAATTTGGCGCCCCCCCTAAGGTCGGCGCCCGGGGACATATGTCCCCCCCGCCCCCCCCTCGCTACGCCTCTGAGATAATCAGTAGATAAATGTATATCTGAAACAAGTCAACTGATTTTAAGTATCAGTCTTTGGGATGTATTCTGGGCATATATATATATATATATATATATATATATATATATATATATATATATATATAGGGCCTTATATATATATATATATATATATATATATATATATATATATATATATATATATATATATACCTCAAAAATGTTTTTAAAATATGGATTTATATTCAGCATCGGACAATAACAGATTTAGAGCACAGTGGATAAAGTAGAGTTTAGCTGTTTAGATAAGGAAAAGGTAAGCTCAGAGTGGCCCCATTGCTACTTTTAAAAGATAGAAAAAAAATATGAAAATTGAGTCTGCCTTAAGATATATTTCGGACAATATTTAAAGATGTTGCATGTGTGATAAGGTATCAGAGTTTCTTCCAGGCATCTCTCCCCCCCCCCCGAAGAAAGTCTACCGTTCCCCCTCCCCTTGAACGAAATGGAATTTATGAATGAATTATAATACTTTTAACACTCCCCCCCCGGAAATTTTAGTCCGCCCCCCCTCCCCCACCACCCCGGAGAAAATAGTCTGACGGAAACACTGCAAGGTATTCCGTAAGCTGTGTAAGATGTGTAGAGTGGCCCCGTTTGATCAGTAGTAAAACAGCACCAAACTCATATGCAACGAGTAAAACACCAAGCAATCTTTGAATGAACGAAACACGAAGTAGTTTTACCAAGTTGCTTCTGTGTGTATTAGGGTGGGGGGGGGTGTGGCATTGTAAAATTCGTTGAATAATATTTTTAAGAATAAGCACTTCAGTGTATACATTATTAATGTGTGTTGTTTACTATGAAAACAAAAACACGCTGTAAGAATAACACATTTAATATCTATCAAGAATCAACTTAATGTAGTCTGAGTAACGTAGTAGCGAAAACATTACAATCGTATGTTCAAATATTAAATTCACTTTAAGATACAACTAGAAAAGAGTTTTTAATCACAGATACAGTAAGGCAAAGGACTTATAAACTTTTAATTTCCTTCATTCAAGTTATCGGTAGAGAAATACGGGCTAATGTGTTGTCCCGTAATACGAATAATTAGGGTTACGAAAAGGTAATTCGATTTGAAACGGATTTGAATTACGAAGCGTGATCTGTGGTGCGAAAGTCGACCGTAACTTGAACAAATTCTTGTCTTGAACGTCACCGCATGCTGTAAAAGGTAAACTGCTTGAACCAGGGGCGTAGCGAGGGGGGGGGGGGGGAGGGCGGGGGGGGGGGGGGTGCGGACCGCCACTAGCTAAAACTAGATGTGTACTGGCCCGCCGACCTACCGGGAAAAATCCCTATGGGCCCCCGAAATCCTGTGGTCCTTTAGGAACGAGGATGTAATAATTCTGTTAGTGCTTTGATTTTAAAAAAATGTTTCAGTCATTTCTCCATTTCACCATATCCTTTCCTATAAGCCAAGGCGTAAAACTCAATTGGATGGGAGAAAAATTGAGGATGCTAATGAAAATGGCTAATTTGCCTTACTATCTTTGACACTGCCAGGCTACCCCTGGCATCTCGTCGGGCACCGCCCCCCTACCTCGGAAAAGTTTCAAGTGCCACCCCCACCCCCCCACATCTCCCGAGAAAAAAAGTCTGAAAGAAACACTGACTAGAACTAGGTCAAAACTTCACTCGCTGTTGTGAAAATCTATAAGGGAATATTTTTTTTTTTTAATCGCACGAGATTTTTTTAAACTGAATTAAGTGCGGTGGTTAAAAACGTCTCCAGCTAATTATTAATTCCCCTGCATGACGCAACAAACACGCCTGACTCAAAGACTTGTGTTGACTATGTTTAATTAAAGCGATCTGATATCGAGTGCAGTGGCAACAGCTAATCCGGGTGGATTAACGGCCCAGAATTATCGCAATATCGATTACACAGCCTACGTCAATACCAGGAGATATCGTCTGCCAGACAGACACGGTGGCTGTGAAGATTTGCGGCATTGGGAAAGTGATAGGGCCAGTACACTCTAATCGATAAAACACGGGGGCGCTAGCAGTTTAAAAACGGCTTCAGTTCAGTTAGGTCTTTGCTGACTGCAGATTTTTTTAATTCATTCGTTTCTTCATTATGGTGATTTGATGCCAATGTTAAGTCGTATTTTCGGATCCAACCCAGGCATTTTTAATATTAACCGCACTTTTTTAACTCTCTGTATATTTATCAATATTTAGTTTTAAAAAAAAAACCCCACACACACACGCACGCACGCACGCACGCACATGCACACACACACACACACACACACACATATATATATATATATATATATATATATATATATATATATATATATATATATATATATATATATATATATATATTGATATTTATACTCATACTTATCGCTTTCAAATTGTGCTTTGTATTATTTTTAAGAAAATGTTTGATATAAAAAAATGTCAATGTTACTATCTGTTGTTTATTTTTGTAGCTTATTTAAAAAATTTCAGAATGCAAGTATTGAATCTGCCAATGTGAAAAAGTGCGTAATAACATTATCTTTATTGAGAAGTTAATTAATTTAAATTATTTCTGATTTCGTCTTAATGACCTTAACATGTCAACCGCTGAACAGACCAGCATGACGTCACCGGAAATCACGGCAGCGCGCATTCTTGTGGAGAACGTTGCAAAGAATGTGGAAGAAAACACGTCACCAAATGACGTCAGGTTCAGCAAGGGAAGCGACTCGATGATCGAACGACGACTGTACGTGGTTAGCCGTACCGGGTCGGGTGAAGTGAGTTACCTCCTCCTCACGGAAAATTTTTCCGCCATCGTGTCGTACCGCGTGCACATCGAGAAGTGGCAGCAGACGTACGGGGTGGCAGATTTCGGAGTGGTCGCCCTTGGGAAGTCCATCTACATCCTGGGCGGCTTCGACAAAGTTCAAGGTCGTTGTTTGACCCGAGTCGTCAGGTGAGTGATTCAGCTTTTAGTTGTGTGTCGGGTGGGGGTGGGGGTGGGGGTCTACGACGATTACAGAGGGGGAATTTCTATTTGTTTAGTTTTTCACAAGGGACAGTGCATAATATAACATAACAAAAACAGAGGCGTAGCGCCCCATTCTGGCGCCCGGGGCGAACTATCGATTTTGCGCCCCCTCGACATTGTGTATAGTTATAGATTTTTTTTTAACCTGTCACTTACCCTTTGTATTTTAATTTCAAACAATTGATGAAGTTTAATAAAGACAAGTAGCTTTTCTTAACTTTGACTGCGTGTAATTCAGTGCTGCAGCTCAAAATAAGTTTTAAATATTTTTATTCTACCCCTATGGGTCGGCGCCCGGGGTGGCCGCCCCACCCGCCCTCCCCTAGCTACGCCTCTGGTGTTTTATCATTCATGCGTTATAAGAGATATGGGCGGTTCAGAGTGTACAGAGAAATAACACGTTTCTAAAATCCCTTATTATAACAAGGTTTTAAATCGCTGAAATAAGAATACAATGATAAGCATTCGCGTATGGGGTCCGCCCTCGAGATTTAAAATATCGACGAACACAACTCATCTCAGTCTTTACATCTTTTTAATGACATGATTTTAGTTAGCTACCATATATCCGATAATAGACTCTTCCAAAAATAGGTGTTTTGGGCTGTTAGTAGCATTGTAATCTCGACTAATTTTATGGTTAGAAATTAGGGTTAGGCGTATGGTAGGACTAAGGTGGGGGTTAGGGTTAGGGATAGGTTTAGTATTGACATTAGCAAGCCATGTGTGCATTTTAGTTAACTACCAGTGACCTTACACCCCTTTTTAAAGAAGATTATATTATCGGACAGTGGTATAAAAATTCCCCCAAACATTTCGCTGCATTTAGAATTGAGTCGTAACAAAGTTACTAAAAGTGACAAAAATCTAGAACAACATTTTCTTGATGCTACAAAATGCATTTTTTTTTTGCCTTCACTGTAATAATGACAAGAGTTATCGCACCTGATCGAGTCGTTCGTCCACAGATACAACCCGTGTACTGACGAATGGTTCGAATGTCGAAGCATGTCTGTGGCCAGGTGTAAATTTGGGGTCTGTGTTGTTAAAGGGAGAATATTTGTCTGTGGTAGGTACAGAACATTGTTTTATACTTACATAACATTGTTTTATAATTACAGAACGGTTTTATACTTACATAACATTGTTTTATACTTACATAACATTGATTTATACTTACATAACATTGTTTTATACTTACATAACATTGTTTTATACTTACATAACATCGTTTTATTCTTACAGAACATTGTTTTATACTTACAGAACATTTTTAAAATTACAGACCAGTTTTATAATTACAGAACAGTTTTAAAATTACAGAACAGTTTTAGAACAGTTTTATAATTACAGAACAGTTTTATAATTACAGAACAGTTTTATAATTACAGATTAGTTTTATAATTACAGAACAGTTTTATAATTATAGAACAGTTTTAAAATTACAGAACAGTTTTAGAACAGTTTTATAATTACAGACCAGTTTTATAATTACAGAACAGTTTTATAATTACAGAACAGTTTTATACTGCTAGCTCGAAGGTCTCGAGTTCGGATCTAGGTTCGGACATGTGACTGTAGGACGTCCCAGAGTCCTCTCAGCTCTGATGGGTACCTGACTTACGTTGGGGAAAGTAAAGGCGGCTGGGCAAAGTACTGACCACACCATCCCTTCATAGCCGAGGTCAAGAAACATAAAACCCAATGGATTGCTATGTCTGGAGAGGAATGTTTACTTTTTTCAGTGGCCTACGTACACTGGGTTGATGCCCTTACCTCAGGGCCGGCGCTACCTATAAGGCGAACTAGGCGGTCGCCAAGGGCGCCATAACTAGGGGGCGCAAAAGGTTTAATCGCTGTTATCAAAAAGTACCTAATAATTAATAACTTTGATTATCTTTTATAAACTACAAGCTGACCCGCGACGTAGCACACGCCGCTATTTAGTTTAACTCCTATTTTTCAGTAACTCATTATTTGTGAATTCGACACTACCAATGCTGTGACTGAAAATATTTTGCTTTAAAACACCATCAGTAGCAAGTGAAGGACGATTATCCTCACCCTCAATTTCCACTCCTCTACCCCCCTCCCTCTCGCCTCCGTGAAAGCAGCCGTCTGTGACGACAGTTTACAGACGACAATGAAAAGAGCAAGCAGAACATGTTATTACCTCCCCTTAATTTAAAATCGTTTAAAAACTAAATTATCTGCCCCTAATAGACGTCAATACGATTGTAAACACCTCACCAGACTGGTGGGGGTGGGGGTGGTAGCGATATGGTCTGCTGAGCTTACGTCTTGGTGGTGTCTCGCATGGTCCCCACGTAGAGGATTTTATATACATAGATAGACAGGGTAAAAAACAAAGGAGTAGCGATCTATTTCGGCAACCAGGACGAATTATGAATTTTGCAACCCCACCCCAAAATTAGGTCTATGTAGGCCTACATTATTAGCGTTGGTAAAAATGCACCCATACGTCACTACTATGGAAATATCAAGGCGCTTTTTACCAGTCACTTTACCTTTTTATTTTGGTTTCACATAATTGATGTAGAAAACGATTAAATAAGTTCGTAATTTAAATTTCGAACATTTCAAACGGTTATCTAATTTTAATGTTGATTTAGTGATCGCTCCAGCGCATGATCTGGCGTTCCAACACACGTGCAATTTAGGTTTTTAGTAGGGTTTGTAAGTCTCAATTTCTCTGACATTGAATTAGAAATCTGTTCTTTTGTATTGAGTTTTGTAATGACGGGGTGTTCAAAGTATTGCACTTGTTTGGTAAGTTTTGATGAATCGTTTAGATTTGGGAGTAAGGGCGGAAGGCTGTTGCTGATATGGTTTCGTAGGTATAAAGTATCGAAGTATCGTATTTTTTATTTGGCTGTTGTGTAGTTAAAAGTATAGTGGAATGATTGGTAGTAGTGAAATGAGAATGTAGGTGATGAAGTATCGTAGTTCTGGAGTTCGGGACTATCGAGTCTTGTGGTATTAAGGCATTGACTGTTAACGTGTAGTAGTAGGTCCAGTTAAGTCGTTGTTGATTGGAAGTATCGTTTGTAGAGCTTGGTGAAGTTAAGCGATGTGGTGTCGTAGTTCTGGAGCATCAAGTCTAATTATGTTTAGGTATCAAAGTTTGATATGTGATGTTAATGTAATAAAGTCTATGAGCAGTTGAGTTTATTGTAAGTTGGATGATTTCAATTCAGGACGGAACACACTACAAAGAAAGGTAGGCGTTCTCTTGCTGACAATCTTTAGTTTTTTGGGAATCTTTATTACCACTCTTAAGGTACTAATATATAATATTACATAGGCTGGAATTTATAATTTGCCGTATGCTTTGTTTTTTTTTCAAATTATAATTTTTTAAAATATTTAATCAATAATTACAGCAGCGTCTTAAAGAAAACAGTTTCCTGTAATTGATTTTTTTTAAAGGCGCCCCCTTATTCAGGGGATCCAAAATTTTGTATTTGTATTTATGTATTCTCACACAAGAAAAAGTATGTCATCAATATTAATTAGAAGTATGTTTCTAATAAAACTAACGTATTTAGACTTTCAAGCAAAACCTACAGTTAAGTAGTTAATAAGTAAAATATATTGTTTTGACATGAATACATAGCTCATATAAACGATTTATTATAATTATTACGTAATGACATTTAGACCGTTGCATTGTGTTTTCCAAGCATGTCTTAGTTACCCTTGGTTAATTTAGCTATTCTTGTGGAAGTTATTTCCCTTGTATTAAATTTTGGTATTTGGGTTTCCAAATGGGAGATAATTTGTTGCTTAACTTTACATTCGTTTCAAATTCCTGGATCTTAGATTGACCGCTGACATATAAATACAACTTAAAGTTATTATTTGCTTTTGTTAAAATTATATGGAGCCGAAATTCCAAACAAAAAAGTTTGGTATGATTTTTTAGCATTATCCAGTTGAAAAACAAATATATCAGTAGCCGTTGTAGATTGCAATACCTAATGTTAGTAGACATACAGTATGAGATAGTGCAACAAATGCGTCTAAAATCGTCTAAGTCGCAAATTAATCATCTAATTAATTGTATTTTTCATATGTTTCACCCTCTCCTAAAGGATTCATATATAACAATTGTAGGCTGGAATCTATAACATTTATAACCTTTGATTTTTCAAAAAAAAAATAGTAACATAATTATACAATATAACACATTATACAATTATAACAAAAAACAGTTAAGCTTAAAACAGGAAAGCTCAGTCCTGGAACTCACCTTGGGAGGTCTGCAGAGAGCCCAACACTTCAAAAACCGTGTTTTTTTTCTAGACTTTTTTCTCCCAGGAGGGAGGGGGGTAGATTCTACTGGTATAGCTGTTAGAATGTATGCCTAATTATGGGATTATTGCAGCAATTACGGCCTCAGCGAAGGTTAGGTTCAATGAATCGATTACATGCAAAATTAGTTTTAAAACAGCCTTACAATGTCGAGGCTTTTTAAAAAAAAATGCAAAATCAGCAGTTGGGTGGAGAGTTTAGTTACAATACAATACATAGGTCTATAACCTGGTTGAACCTCCCTTTCTCTCCCACTCATTCTAACCCTTCCCTCGTCTGTCTTCCGGGGGGGGGGGCGGGTTAGACGGGTTAGAAAAAATATTAAAAGCTAATTCTGAGCTGTTTTATTGTATTATACACAGTAGCAATTAAGAATATAAAATGCTACTTGGATAACTAAGCGGGGGGGGGGGGGGGCTACGCCTCTACTCTCTTCTGCCTTCTCATCGTACACCCCCCCTCTAAGAGCTACAAGTGCCATATAATATATGTGTGGTTCTAGGTGGAGAGACAGACGATGGTAAAGTCACCGGAAGTTGTGAGATCTATGATCCGGAAACTAACCTCTGGTCCAAATGCGGATCTCTCGTGTCGCCTAGGTCTGGCTGCGCATGCGCAAACAACGGCAAAGAATTAATTTGTGCAGGAGGATACAACGGAGGGAAGGCTCATAACAACCTCTGGTAATGTGTGAACTGTTATTTTTTTTTTATTTGAATCACTTAAAATTTCTGTCCTACATTCCCTTAGTGGTAGTAATTAGTCTGACGTTGTTTACAAGGACAATAGTTATAGTTACCGTAACATCATCGTGACGTCATTTATTGACGGGTCATCCATAAATAACGTCACGCTTTTTTGACGATTTTTACATACAGTATTTTAATCAATTCCTATTATAATTTATTAAAACCGTTTTCTAAAAATGCAAAATAACGGCTAAAATTCGTTTTCTTACATTGCTTTTTTTATGGTGCAAAAGTGTGACGTCACACAATCTGAGGCACCCCCCCCCACCCTGATCACACACCGTCACAAAATTACGGACCCCCCCTCCCACCTACGAAAGTGACGTCATTTATGGACGACTCCTGACGAAATCCTATTAATTCTTATTCTACCCATATTGAAGTGTTTTTTCTGCTAAAGAAATGTGTTGACTGAAGTACATTGCGATACATTTTTATTTTCTACTGTAGGCTGTATGACAAACACAAATGGCAGGAAATCGGCAAAAATAACCCACACGGTCTTCCATACAATCTTCACAGATGTGCGCTGACAAGGGCGAAAAAACCTTTTGTATTTTATAGGAGGTGACGTCAACTTGATCAAAGTATTGTATTAGCTGTTCAACCAGAGATAGAGAGAGAATGAGTGGAAAGACTGCGGTTAGGTTTAGAGTGATGTGACGTTTGGTCAAGGTTATATGTGTGTCGGAGGGGGGGGGGGGTCGGTTGAACACAAGCCACCTCATGCAAAAATGTACATATGAGAAAGATAAATCAACATTGTCAAGCTCAAATATGCATATATATATATATATATATATATATATATATATATATATATATATATATATATATATATATATATATATATTATATATACATATAGCATGGTTTTCTGCGAGACTATAGATGTGAGTTAATAATTTCTCCTTTACGCGTATAACAGGAAAGCATCAGAATCTCTCTCTCTCTCAAGGCTCTTCACATTATTTTGCTAAACTATTGATTGGTTAAGTAATTAAGCCTGCGAGATGCTGATTCATTGTTGTTTTTGGCACTTTGGTCTCTAATAGTGAAACAGAGAATCGAATCAATGTCATTTTCCTTCATGTTGTTGCCTGGAATGGTTAGGGCTGGGGCTAGGTACTGGGATAGAGCTTGTTTTGGTTAGGTTTATGGGCAGTGTTTCTTCCAGACTTTTTTCTCCGGGGGGGGGGGGGGGCACTTGAAATTTTCGGGAAGGGGGGCGGTAGACTTTCTTCGGGGGGGGGGGGGGGGGGAGACACTGTTAAAGTATATATTTTTCTATATAAATTATATACATTTCATTTTCGTTCGGGGGGGGGGGGCGGTAAAAAAAATTCGGGCGGGGGGGGGGCGAAGAGATGGCTGAAAGAAACTCTGTTTATGGGCAAGGGTCTAATTACGGTAGGAGTAAATTATCTTCACCATAGCACTATAAAAAAAAATAAGACCACTACTGCCCTGTAGGTAATTAAATAGTTACCAGACCTGACTGTTGAAGTAAAACCCTCTCACCCCCAGGGGTATCGTCCAAAGACCACCACCCCACCAAGCGAAGACCGTCCTCACCCCTAACCGTGACACAGTCTGAGAAAAGAATGTTCTCCTATACAACTGCTACAGCGGGCGCTCTGGTCAAAGGGCGGCAACCCAGTGTATCCACGTTAAATACACAGTTACCGCCCATGAGACACGCAAGACAAAATGCAGGGGCGGTTACTGTGGGTAAGTAATTTTTTTTTTAATATATAGATCTACATTTGGCAGTGTGTTTAGACATATATGTGCCAGTAAACATTACTATTAGTAATAGTGAGGTATGTTAACGATGTATGATATTTTTAAAGAGATTACATTTTGTTTTTTACTCATAGCCTGTAGTTACAGTAGCACTTTAACTGGGTTTTTTTTCGGACATATTTCTACTGGGAAGGGGCGTTTAAAATTTCCGAGATGGGAGGGGGAAGCTTTGGTTAAAGTAAAGTATATATTTTCTATATATTTTGTCTTTTCATTTCGTCAAGGGGGTGGGGGGGGGGTTCAAATACAAACTTGATATCTACTGATGAACTTGAAAAAAAAAACCTACAGAAGGGTTAACAAAATTTAGGAAAGGTATAAAATAATTATTTTTTTAAAAAACTAGGTAGTAAAAATAGCTTTGTGAAATACTTGAATCAATGAATATATGCTTACTCTGTTATTAAAATTGTTTACCCTTCCAACATTTCAAGAATTTAAATAAGCCATTGTAATTGTCTCATCTGAACCCATAAATTTAAAAAAATATAAACCCAGATGAAATAGTTAATCAAATCAATTAGTACTTTGAGCTAAGAAAATCAAACAAACAAAAAAATATTTACCAGTACCTGTTTTCCCTTACTTTCAACATATTTTACAGATTGTATAGCATTGGTTTGAGTATAAACCAAGTGCTATATGGACAGGCATCACTTCGGGGGTGTTGAGCCCGCCCCCCCCCCCCCCCCCCCCCCACCCCGTAGAAATTCCACCGCCCCCATCCCCCCACCCAACGAGAATTTATATAGAAAAAATATACTTTTAACAGACAGTGCACATCCCCCTCCCCAGGAAATTTAAGTGCGACACCCCCCCTCCCCCTGAAAATTTCAAGTGTCCCCCCCCCCCACCCCCGAAGAAAAAAAATCTGGAAGAAACACTGTATATGGAGAAAGTGATTCGTTTGACATTTCAACATTTGTGCACGAATTTGTCAAACAAAATGATGCAAGAATAGCTGAAATCCGCTATATTAATTCATGTACACACACAAAAAAAAAACAACAACAAAGATAGGTTTTTGTGTGCAGTAGTTTTACATGAATTATCTAGTCACCAGCCCGCTTGCTAGTAAAAAAATCTATTGCTGGCACTCTCAGTAGCCTATGGGTCATCCATAAATGTTGTCACGCTTTTCGGACAATTTTTTACCTCCCCCCTCCACTCCGTCACAAAAAAACCAGACCATACCCTCTAAAATTACGTCATACCTCAGCCTACAACCTCCCCCCCCCCCCCTCAAAATAGAAGTTGAATTTTCCTTAAAATAAGATATTTTTTTCCTCAATCTTGTCTGAACTCGGTTAACATAGAGTATTTTAATCAATTCCTATTACAATTTATTAAAACAGTTTTCTAAGACGCGAAATAACGACTAAAATTCGTTCTCTAACATTTTTTTATATTGCAAAAGTGTGACGTCAAACCATTGGAAACCCCCCCTTCCAATTAGTCACACACCATCACAGTATTACGGATCCCCCCCCCCCCCTTACGAGTGTGACAGTATAGATGGACAAACCCTATCACAAAAATGTAATAAATATTGTTTAAAAAATGTGACCATTGCATAAAAACATATAAATACAAGAAAAAAACATATATTTTTATATTTTGATAATCAAAGTATTGCAATAGTGAAAATTTGCTTTAATTATCATTCTTCTTCTTCGTTCTTAATTATTAGTGTTGAAGGGGATCGAGATTTAGCTGCCAGTGGGTTTGAACTCGAGACTGTTCGAATTTATCAACCATGAGCTTTTTGCCGACTCGACCACGCCTCCAACACAATTAAGCGTTACGTGCCAACTGGTTATGCGCCATTGAGGCCGTTGACTCCGAATTCAGCCTGCTTTTCTTTTTGGATTTGCTTCCATAGCCTTTGTCCAACTAAGAACAATCTACAAGGCAGCAGTTGTTTAATGTTTGGAGTTGTCTCTCCTAGAAGAGTGGCTCATCTGCCCGAGGGTTCGAACTCGAGACTTTTCGGTTTAGCAACCATGAGCTTTACCGACTCGACCACGCCGACCCCTAATTATCATTAAATATCCATATTTTCATCCCGCTTACCATTTACAACTTCAAAACAAGGGAGGCTATATATTAATTATTCATTAAAAACCGTTAATAATACAGAAAAATTCAACTGCAATATAATTTCTTTTAAAAAGATTCATTGTTTGATATTTAATCAAACGTTAATATCAAAACTACTTTATAATTATGTATTTACTTTTTTTTATTGATTTTACACTTATTATTTGACTCTAGTCTAAATTAAAAACGTTTACCTTTATGAAATATTTAATTTGTACATAATGCAAGTCTTCAATCAAATATCTACTCAACAACTGCAAATTCTCTAGTTACTTAAAATTCATAAAATGTTTTTTAACAAGCTTTTTATGTTATAATGGCAAATTATAATGCACTAAAAAGTAGAAAATAAACGACCCACTACTGTTAAAATAGCTATAAAGAAAAGCGTGGATCACTTTTTTATCTATTTGACACTTTACTAATAATTAGGAAGAGACCCACGCTTTTCATTATAGCTATTTAAATAGTAGTGTGTTGTTTATTTTCTACTTTTTTGTGCCTTATAACATGGGTCAGCAACTGCGGCTAGCGGCTCTTTTGATGTCAAGATGCGGCTCTCCAGTTCCATGCACAAATATTAATAATTATTTTGTATTATTTTCAAAACTCATTAAAATTTTTATAAAGGAAAACAACTTTAAAAATGATAAAAACACTCATCAGAGAACAATAAGAGTAGGTGAGGTAGAGAGTATACAGACAGCTGACAGCCGCTTGGGCACCAGACCCAGCCCCACAACAGTGCTGTAGCCAGCCCCGTGGAGAAGGTTCCATTCTTGCCACTGCCGACTTTTTCGAATATCGTTAAATGAGGAATATAATTCTTATACAGAATACATTTCTCTATCGGTCCATATGCATTAATTTGACCAGAGTGACGTGTTCTTTTTTAAGTTATTAGCTTCGGGTACGAGTTTACCCTGCGTTCAGTCGGTAGGAAGATAAGCCCGATGAGAACTGTAGGCAGAAGCGACCGATACCCAGGCCAGTAGTCGGAGTTGACCGTGTTTAGGGCTGCCGGGCTATGGGAAACACATCCTGAGCCGGTGGTGTCGGTAAAGAAAGAAAAAAAGTTATTGGATTCTAAAGTGGATTGGGATAGTTGTATAGTAATTTTATTTGATTACTAATTTTATGATAGCAGAGCTGAGTGAAATACTTTAATATGTTTTGTGCGGAATATTAGTATGTTTTTTAAGTATAATTATTCTTTCATATCTAAAGTTATTTTTTACAAATCAAAATTCAAAAGTAGGCCTATATATTTAATCATAATCAAATGCCAAAATATTGAAATAAAAATGTTAGTGGCTCTTTAAAAACTAGGAAACTTTTGTAAATTGTAACTTTTGGCTCTTCCGGCTCAAAAGGTTGCTGACCCCTGCCTTATAACAAAAGCTTATTCATAAAACAATTTTTATGAAGTTTTTTTTCTGTAGGCCTACTTTACATTTTTAAGAATTACAACAGAGTTGCGTGACTAAAAAACCATTGCGCATCTAATGAACGTAATAATGCGCGTATAATAGTGCGGTATAGTTGGATAAGACTACCTACTAATTTGGACACCATTTTAATTAATTCTTAAAAAATTAATTAGGCATCCAATTAAATCAAATTTAATGTCAGATTGCATTGTCTTCATGTCTTGACCCACGTGCCAACTTTGAACCGAATTTGTCTGTTAGAAGTGCTCGATCCTGTGTTGGTATTCCATATCTCTGGTCTTACACGCCCCGCTTGTTTAATCTGGTGCCAAGGAGATTGCCAATTGAGTGCCTGTGTATGGGCTGATCATATAACTTAATAAAGGTGTAGGTCCCATCCTATAACTTAATAGTAGTGTAGGGCCCATTACCTAATAGAAGATTATGGCCGAACATATAACTTAATATAAGGGTGTTGTTAGTAATAGTGTTTGAAATAACTTTGGAAGTAAAGTTGGTTATGGGGTTTATAACGGCGTTGGAAAAGGAAAAAAACCCAACAAATACAAAAAATTCTCCACCAAAAAAGCAGTGGTTGTTTTATTTTGGAGTTTTCTCTCTTAGATGGGTTGCTATCCCTAGATTTACCAGGTTCTGTTTTTGTTCTTTTAAAAAGGAGATTTTAATATTAATTTTTTTTTGGACAGGTGACAAGATCCACGTGATCGGGGGGTCAAATGTCGAGACAGGTGACCCGGTTCTAATGACAGAACACTTTGACCTGGTCAAGGGCATATGGCAGGATGATTTCCTCTTCAAGAAATGTAAAACTTTTTTAATTGACTTATAACCGGATCATTAGTTACGCTGAGAGCCGTGTTTCATCGTTTTAGTAATTACGTATAGGGCTGGGGGGGGGGGGGGTGTAGATAAACTTAATTTATAAGGGAAAAATACTGCACCATAACGAACAGTGGTCTCACTTTTAATTACATATCTCTTAAAGTATCATAGCTGTCTCACTTATTAAACTTTATACATATAACAATCTTACTTTACATATCCCTTCATATATCATAGTAGTCTCACTTTATTTATTTCTCTTTACATATACAATAGCGATCTCACTTTATTTACATATTCCTACATATATCATAGCAGCCTCACATTATTTACATATCTCCACACGTATCACCATCAACTACTCACCATTTACTCACCATTGTTGTGTTGTACACGTATACATTTATGTTGTACATATATATTTATTTCGTCTTCAAAACAAAAATTGAAGTCTTACAGTAACTGGTGTGTTTTCTGCTCATGCACGTGCAGGTGACGTGTCCAACGTGAGCTGTGTGCTGGTGGACGTGCCTAAAGTCCCCATGGAGGAGCGGAGGGTTGTCCAGAAGCTTCGATGGGTCATGTGGTGACGTCACTTCAAAACAAATGTTTATTAAATTATTTATGTGCTGTCATGAAGAATGTATAAATGTTGTCACGTATGGACCACACTATCAACATAAATAAATGTAGCCGATCCCCAAAAACAAAGTCCACGAATCACTAATTTATTCTTTAATTTAAATGAAATCCAAATTCTGCGATGTTTTTTCTTATTAGTATTATTTTATTTATTTTGTATATGGGTCGCCCTTAAAAAAACGTCACACTTTTTTTTTTTGAGGATTTTAAAATCCACTCCTCCCCACTGCAATAAAATATAATAGTTATTCAGCAATATGTTTATTTTCTGCATTAAATGTCCGCTACATGGAGTTATAACAGTGCTGTAGAGAAGACGAAGAATTCCCTTTTTTTGAACACCTCTAAAAACAGCATCAAACTAGCAATGTTATTTTATTCATCAAAGATGTCAGTTTTATTTAAACACATAGCCACATATTTGACTATCAAATACGAACTAAGAAACATTTTTCCCACTTTAGCTTTATATTCATAGATACATTTGTACATGGAAAATGTAGGCGTATATCTTGCTCATTTAAATTTCAGATGAATTATATCCGAATCAAGAAATGTATTTAATTAATTCGCCTACTGTAAATTCCATTACAAATTTAAATTAACCAAGAAGGATAACCTATAAATTTGCTCCCAAAAATGGCTAAATGTACAAAGAAATTCATAAATAATTGTTAAAGCTTCAAAACATTGTTTACAGTGTAAATTAAAACAAAATTATTTGTACTTCTTATACAATTGATTGTTTAACCTTTGTTTTCTTAATTTTAGATTATTATAAGGCTCAAATTTTAATTGCAAACAGCTAGCAGAATTAAAGAATTGAAATGTAGACATGATGAGAAAGTTCGGTATAACCAATCTTCTTTCTGTTTTTTTTGCGACAACTCTATGTGTATCTCTGTTGTTTTAGTGCCATAGTGACTATTTGTCCGTGTTCATTCTGTCTGCCTTTTGGCCAGGGGCGGAACTACAGTGCCGCCAGACCCCGCATTGCGGGGGGGCCCGGGACGTTTAGGGGCCCGCAGCCGACCATAATCAATTTTTTTACAGTTAAAAAAAATAATCTTTTTGCATTTTTGACTTGATGGATGTTTTGTAAAAAGAATACTGCAGCTGCTGTTTGATTATCTTTATTCTATAGACACCATCTCGAGTCCTCTTTCTCCTACAATCAAACATGCTGTTGTCGGCAAAATTCTTTTGAAAATAAATCCATCGCGTG